GGTGAATGTTGTGGGACTTGATAGAAATGATTTGACTGTGAAGTTGTCTCGACTTGAGGGTTTAAGGCTTCCAGTCCAGGGGTTTGAGCTTCGAGACTACGGGGACAGGGATTTGACTTGAGGTGGCCTGGCTTGGGGCTTGGGGATGGGATTATTTACATTACCTGGGACTCTTGGCTTGGACCTCAAGTTCGTAGACAAAAGAGCATCATCAACTGAAGGGCCAAAAGTTAGCTAACGCGCCGGAGGAAGAGATAGCTAAGCACCGGCAATCGTCATCTTAAATCCCCACCTGCTGATATCAAATATTCCCAATGTATTGAAATATAACAAAATGGAAAATTTAGCAAAAAGGAATGAGGTTTTCATGGGCGGAATCATCTCCAAGAGACTAAGAGCTGGTGGGTGCGCATTATGTTTTTCCACACATGTTGTCGCGGTCCCGCTATGGTGTCTATGGTGTCTTGCTCTAGCACACTATAGAGCATGATGAAGTTCGTGGAGTTCATGTCTTGGGCTGCAGCGTGTGCATCACGTGTATCCTATAGTGTACATGTACCTGTACATCTATGCTGGAAACACCTGGGCATCATATCCCAAAAACGAAATCGTTCTTCTCCAATTTCTGTGTGCACATTTAGATGGATGGTTTTTGAAAGCTAAGTGGTGCTGGCATGTTGGAGTCCACCACGTGTCAACTCAAGAGAAGAAGCCCGCGGGCATCGAGCCGGCCTTCGGCAAGCCAATCCGCTTTGCGGAGCGACGTCAAGGTCTGAGAACCGCTTGACACGTCTGAAAACTGTCCCTGCTCCCGGACCTTTCAGAAGCCGGGACACAACAAGTGAAACGGAAACTTGCTCAGCAGGCTCAAGCAGCATGGCTCTCACTGAGACCGCCAGGTTGTGAGAGGAGATTCCTGCCTGCTGCAGCCTTGCAACTGCGCGGTTTAAGCAGATTCGGCAGAAACTGCAAGAACTTGACTAGGGCTTGGGACTGCCCCACGATGTAGAAAGTTCCAAAGGCAAGGATCTTCGCCCATGATACACAGTTGCACAAGAGCAGGAACTAATCGCAGCCAATCCAAACAGTTCACACCACATAGGATACAAACTCCCTGCCATCGTCTGTACCCACATCCTGACGGAACTGTGCTGTGGACTGGCGACTTCAACATGAAAACGTCTCGGTTCTAGAGGTTCCTACTCAACCAAAAGCTTCTGTCATCTGAACTAAACTATCTGCAACAACACAAAACTCCAGCTGAAACTCACGTTGTCGACGGACATCCGCTGATTTTGGGCAATAGCTACAGAGGTTAGAGAGACTTAGTACGACCAGATTTCTAGTCAGAGGCGGCGCAGCCTGCATCCTGTCCCGAGGCTGTGGAAGCCAACTCGGATCGATTGTGCGCATCCTGGGCAACAGCACCAGTAGAAACAAGCCTTTGTTAGCAATTGCCGGCTTCCTTATGATGAGGCCTAGATTGACTGGGGGTATGTACTGAACCTGGCTGGTTGGCAGACACAGTTCTCTCAAACTGGAAAAGGACAAGCTCGCACCTCCACACCTTGTTTGAATCCACTCGGGCGCAGGCTATCTCCACAGCCGCATGCTTGGACTTCAGCTTTTCAAGCTCGAGACTGGCACAGCTCGATAGCAGAGTGCATCTGCGGACTAGGTTACAGGATTCAGAGCAGAGAGCTTGACAGAACTTTTGCTGAGCCATGCTGCTTTGGATCAATGTTAGGTTTGCGCTGATCCAACGTGGGTCGCGCCTGTCAGCAGCCCTCTGGCGCTCCTCCTGAATATGAACAAGAATGTTCGCACGCTCTGTTCCCAAAGATCACTTTGGACAGATCCCTGTTACAATGTTGTTTCTTCTAGTGATGAAAACCACTACCAGGACGGTTGGCAACATCACCGGTTTTACTAGCGCTATGCTTCCCATGCATGCTTGTCGCCTTGTCAGGACAACCTGAAAGAGTTCAAGCCCGAAAGCTTCTGCTGTGTAGAGTGCTCCGAGTCTGACAAGGCCTACTTTGCCCCGATTGCACAAAGGGCCACTGCCCCACTTGGTTCTACTTTTTGTGATCGGCGCCTGCCTGAAGCATCATGTCACGCACCTGCAACACATCCAGCAGGCAAACCAATCCAGATGCAGCAGCTTATCAAGATCCGTGTCCCCGCAGGTCCCAAAATGTTGTTAGCCAAGAATTTAACGCCATTGAGAGATCACATGCACGGATGCTGATCCCACAGGGATCATCTAGTGATGGAGCTTACCTACGTAGTGCAGGGATGGCTCCAAATCAAGAGTCCTGGGGACCCTCGTTCTGAAGCAGCCAAGGTTCTTGGTAGGTTGGAGGTCGCATGAAGAACCCTGTGTGTCATCACATGCCAATGGAATCCCCACGCATCACCCCTAATTAGCCATGTAATTCTCAAGAATTGCGCCCCAGCATGGAATCAATTGTGTGCTCATTACCACCCCGAACATGCACCCACTGCTTTGAGACTCTAGTGAAATCAGTTTTGCACCCTAGGAGTTCCCTGCTGCAGAACTCCTATCCCTCCCGGATATTTGAGCATGGGCACCTGTAGATTTATATAGAGGTACATAAGAATGCATATGTACATGTGCGTGTGTGTGTGCATGCATGTGTGTGTGCATACCTCTCCGGTCATATCTACGTATGTGTGTATGGATACATATTTACATGTGTGTTGGCTTAATTGTTCGATTTGATTATTTCATCGCGTTGTCACATGGACTGTGCATGAATCTTAGAAAACCTGATGTTTTTCCTGCCTCCTCCGCGTTGATGGCGGCCTGCTGCTTCTCCCACACTTGATTCAAGCCTAGGCTGCGGGTTGGGGGATGGGTTATAGGGGACCTTTAATATACAGGGAGTGGTATAAGGATCCATTCCCTCATTCCTTATAGAGCACCAGGCAGTCTTAGGAGTGCCTGGAAAACAAGGATTGAAGGGCTCTCTACTTGGTACACTTCTCAGTTTGCGCCTGTCATCTTTGCGCAAGGGCTAGGCCAATACGCGCTCTCTGTCTTTGCAATATTGTCAGATTCCCTAGAAGGATCAAATGCACAAATCCTTTTGGCTCTAAGGTTAAGGAGGGGTCTAAGGTTGAGGAGGGGTTCCCCGTGGTTCCCCTACACCCTAAAACTCTAAACCCCTAAACCTAAATCACATATATCTCAGGGTTCTGGAAATTTGGGGCTACCAAGCTGAGGCACGGCTACTGTCAGCCAGGGCCTAGAAAGCAAACTCAGAAGATGAATTTTGTGGTTCATCGCCAGAAAGCACTGACACTTTTGGAAGCCTGATTCTTCAGGATGCCTGTAGCTTCAGGATAGTTGCATAGTTCCTTTGCAGAATCAGATGCATGCTGTGTGTTTTAGCGGCTGCAAGGCTGTGGGGTTAGTAGACTTCACACAAAGCAACTACGGAAACTACGGCTGCTGCTCACCATCAGTTCAGAGATGCAAGTTGTCAAGTGGAGCCACTGCCTCCCAGCAATGTCAAGAGCAGCTTTTTTGATGTTCAGAAGAGAATCGAGTAAGCTCATCACCCCAGGTGGCTCACGCTCTCTACTACAACTCTACTACATGATGATCTAGGGGACTATGACTGACACGCACATTACAAATACAACCCATGTGCCCTGTCAACAAACCCCACAACTACGAAACACCCAACGTGAACGACACAACCCAAAAAGAAACACATAAGTCGCTTGCGATCCCGCCCTTTTGGGGATGACCTGGAGGCCCTGGCTTCGTAGATCATTCCTGGCCGACTGGAGCTGAACCTCGCAGGAAATATCTAGCACCAACACTTGGCCATCACAAGGAGGTTTGTTGCAGTTTTGGCAGTTGCCAGAAACGAGGTACCGAGTTAGCAAAAGAAATGGATGTCGGATTGGCTACTGCAGTATTCTTGTTGAATGCTGCTGCCGTCATAGCTTGTGCAGGACCAGGTCTGGTATCTGCAGCTTCCGCTGCAAGCGTGCTGCGTTGATGGCCAATTAATGCTGGCAATGGTGGAAAAGGAGCTGGGAGGGCATGCAGCTTGCAAACAGTCCCCTGTCAAGAACAAGGAACCACCATACCCCGAATAACGAATCTTCATAATGTCTTGATTTAATGACCTAGTATCGGGGAGTGGCGAGGGGGCGATTACTATTGGAGGGACAACTGGAGAGTCACACGAATAGCATGAGGTGATCATGCCAGAGCTGTTGACACATCCTCCCTTTTGCAAGAGGCTTCTCGCACCGCCCCACTCCAGGCTTCAGCTGCAACGCTGCAGACTGTACTCATGACAGGCCGCCCTAAACCCTAGACCCCTTCTTTGTCGAGGACTCTCTGATGTGCCTGAAACCCTAGAGTCCCCCTTAAATAGATAGAATATGGCTTTGCGTATAATATGTATACCCCGTATTCTATCTACTTAAGGGGGACTATAAACCCTAAACCCTGCCTGAAGGAGCTCTGTTTGCTGAGCTCTGTCTCGAATAGCCCCCTCCGCTGAGGCGATCGAGGCGATTAGCTTTCCGATGCGACCTTGTGGCGGTCGGGGAGATGGGGTCCTGGGTTCAAGGCATATTTGGGGTTCCCACGGGGGCTTCCATTGGGGGGGTCCCAAGTATAGAGGTTCTAGCATTGAGGGGTCTATGTTGGGGTTCCCCCATTTATGGAAACTAGCATGTCATCATCAGCGCGAGGGAAGGCAGTCGAAAGAAGGCGCTTCATCTGAGTGGCAGAGTGGGGCGGTGATTGGGGAGGTGATTGCTACCTGCTGCGCGAGGTCACAATTGCATCAAACACAACAGAGCCCAGAACGATCATCGCAAAGTATCTGCCAGCAACCAGCCAGCCCTCTAAACTAGCATGGAATCTGATAGACCACAAAGGGCTGTGTGGGGTTCCATAATTTTGTGGGGAAAAGATAGCCATCGCATGAATCAACTCAGCACCCCGCGATCGTAGCTAGAGAGCACCTGCCACAAAGCGCACCAAGGCTTCTGCAGAGCAGAATAGAAGCCCTTCTATCCCGCTATGTGCCTCCTTTGTTTAATCTCGAACAAATCACCTCAGAATCCTTCCAACCCCAAACCTCACTTCAGCCGAAGGCTACCCAACAGCTACATTGTTGTTTTTGTTTGAGGGGAAACAAGAAACGGCAAGGAAAACTTTCACTACTAGATCATTGGGAATTACACAAAGTTCCTATAGGCATCCATTCCTCCATTTCCTATCCTCCAAAATCCCCTATATAATCCCCAGTAATGTAGTAATGTGGTACTTCCCATGTTCTTTTTTGTTCATTCTTTCCCTACCGAGAACCTGTAAGCAAGCGGGCGCCTGAAGAAGCCCAACAGCGCTACTCATGGCTCTGGCCGAGGCCGGTCGGTTAGGTCTTGCCGGCTTCGCCACCTCCAGGGTTTAGGGTTCAGGGTTTAGGGTTTATAGAAATTGTATAGGGTTCAGGTTCGGAGTTTTGACGGACTTTTGAGCGAGTTGTTTTTGGATTTGGCTCAAAACAAGTGCCTTTTCAGTGTTTTTGCAAGCTTGCCAAGGTTTCTTGGGCGTTTTGCAAGCCTGCCTGGGGGCCCCCGGGCCTGCCAGGGCCTCTCAGGGGCCTCCCAAGGGTTCCCAGCACCTTCCCAAGACCCTCCAGCGGCTGCCATTGACTTCCAACCTGCTCGCCCAACCTGCTCGTCCAACCTGCTCGCCCAACCTGCTCGCTTTCCTCTTCTGACGTGGCTCCATGCGCTTGAAGAATTCCAAAATTTGCTCTAAAAGGC